GCTTGTGTAGTTTGAGTTCTCAGGAAATTGAGCATGTCAGCATCAAAATATTACCAACGAAGCAGTAAACAAAACGACAGAGTGAGAAAGAGACTGTTCAGGCTTCTATGTTTAAACAAGGGTTTTCACCCATCACTTGACGGCTGAGCTGACTTTCTGCACCGGGTTGCCACGTCCACAAGTGCATAGAAAAGCTCAGGAACAAACTTGACTTTCTTTGTAGTCATTTCAGTTTAATTTTGTGAGATATGGTCGGTCAATTTGTTCGAGGTCAATATATTTTTTTATTTTTTGTATTATTTTCAATAATTAACTGTTTTTTTCCGAAACTTTTTGTCAGCCTTGCTTGTTCGAGTTTTTTTGTCAATGTTAGAATTTTTTGTTATTGTTAAAAGATCGTTTTTGGGTTTCGTATTCGACTTTATCGGTAGCTTGATATTGTAGCTGCTTTTCAACATTGATAATAGCATTAACAGATCATGTAATTCAAAGTAATACAATAATGGAAACAGTCGCAGTTCGGTTAGTCTTTGTTTATAGCTCTTATCCAAATTGCCCATTATCCAGATAGTTGCTTTCCTTTCGACACGTTCTATTTCCTTACTTTCAATTTTATTCGCGAACCAGGAAATAGAATGCTTTCCAAGCTTTATTACACCTCTTATCGGAAGTAGAATGATTTCCAAGCTTTATTAAACCTCTTATCGACATTTGGTTGCCATGACAATTTGATGGCTACGGTTAATCCAAGGAATTTTTGTTCGATTGTTTCAGAAAGCTGTTTTGAATTCAAGGTGAAGTCATTCTTAACGCCTTCTTTCTGTTTTTTTTTGGTAAAAAATAACTTTTGCACTCTCTTAATTTCATTTTGATAGTAATCTTCCATTTACGACCTTTCTGTATCTTTTCTGGCATCAAAGTTACAAACTTAAAAACATCCGCATAACCGAAGGCTTCAGATTCTGTCATTTCCTTTGGTAGGTCGTTCACATATATTATCAAAAGTAGTGGACCGAGTAAGGAACCTTGAGGTATACCACTAGCGACAGGTACTGTTTCAGAAAGGCAATCATTTACTTTAACATACTGTTGGCGGTGAGATAAGTAACTTGCAACTATTTAGTAAAAAAATTAGCTCCAATGTCTAATTTTTCAGCTTGTTGGAGCAGCAAGTCGTGTGCAACACTATCAAAAGCTTCTAAATTTCTTCTAAATCCGTGTTGCGATTGGTCTGTTTGACTTTTTACAATTTCGTTCATTTCATCAAAAATAAATTTTTTCCAGCACTTTTGATATGCTGCATAAAAGACTTATGGGTCGGTACTGCTCAATCATTGCTCCGTTCTGGTCCTTAAAAATTGATATCACTTCACTTATATTCCAATAGAATGGAAAGATGCCTTTACTTAGTGCAGTTTTTAAAACCAGTATTAATGACTTGGGCGAAGATGGTAGATTTTGGAGCACTGTTTTTCCTATCCGGTCTGGCCACATGCCTCATTAGTTTGTATTTTTGTCACATTTCAATAGTTCCTGCTGCAAATTTGGTCAAGCAGCCAGCGCAGTCGCGGCTACGTTGGTTTGGGCATGTTCACCGCAGATAAAATGACCATGCGCTAATAATCAACACACCATATTCAGTTCCAGGTAAAACACCACCAGGAAGGCCTAAAACTGCTGGATTGATTTGTTATAAAAGACCTGAAGGATTTGGGTCCCAAAAGCACAGACTGCCTTGATCGAACGAGAAACCGTGTTGTCCTCCAATAATTAGCTTGAATGCTACTCAGAATGCCCTCCGCCGAACCATTGCTGACGCACTTTTTGGATGCCGAAACCCGCCGATATGGGAAAATGGATATTAAACGCTTTAGTAAATCTGAAACTAGTGAAGGAACGACTAAGAGTGTGAACCAGTCGTGTCTACTCTAGCCCCGTCTATCGCAACGGAACTCGAAGATAAGAATTTTTTTTTTGCTATTGAGAATTGGGCTCAAAACTCAATGAAAATGAAGTTTTGAAGTTTACCCCAAAATGGTGACCAGCAAAATCAGAAAAATTATGAAGATGACCAAAAACAATTAATACTATCTACCTGCGTTTTGGAATAGAAAAAATAGCTTGTCTTAGTGCGCTCAAAAAAATCAGTCCAGCCCACTCTCGACTAAACAAAAATCCTGTTAAATTTTTAAACTGTCAGAAATTATACGATCAAATACTCTCAATCCTGCGTGTTTTTTGATTTTCAGATAGAAAGTGAGGAGGGAGAGTTGTTTACGCCGCATCATCGATATTTGTTTTCAAATAGCCTGAGTAACGCGGGTTCTCTCAATTGCTTAAAAAACGAACTTGCTTCTGATGAAAAGAAAAATGATTAAATTCACATATATAATTAAAACAATCTCATCGTTTCAGTCGATTCAACTACTGTTTTAATAGCCTTCATTCGAGTATTCAATAGTGTAAGAAGGGAAACTTTTTTTCAAGATAAATACAGTTTTCAAGTGGTCGGCCTGTCCGAACCCCTGTGAGTAGCCAAAGACGAAGAGAAAAGTTTCATCGTTGTTTCGCTCTATCTTTCCTCCGCCAGGACAGAGAGCGAAATGTCAGACAAATTCGCACTATGTTTAGTGGTCTCAAAAACAGGGACATCAGTTTCCGTCGCAGATCGATTCCATGATGCATCCTGCATTTCCATTCTGCACTTCAATACCGAGTCGCTGGAGTAAGAATGCAAAGCTGCGCGGCTCAGTAGAAAGCAATTTCATGCGGAGGCCAATTGTGCGCAAGAAAACATAACTACCTTTGCCAATCCCGCCGAGCTTCTCGATTGCAACGGGCCCGAGAATCGTGTGCTCAGGAAGGGCAGAGTAGTGGCCACGCTTGCGGTATTCAGCTTCGGTGGCAACTGCAGGTCCGTCACTGGTGGCCAGGCGTAAGTTGCTAATGGTGAGTTTGTGTGTGTATGCAAAGTCCCATGCTACAACACGGCCTCGGCACCATGGGAGAAGCGACACGCCGTCGGGGCGTTTTCCGTCATTGCGTGAATTTCCCCGAGGCTCTAGCGTTGACGGAACACCAGCGGATTTGAGCGCTTCCTTTATCACTTTGTTGCAGGTCTGGTGGCGAGTGTGTCTGCTTCTGATATTGGGGCAGGTGAGTACATGGTTCCCAAAGTTGTCGTTGGTGGCGCCGCAAATGCAAGAGCATTTGCTGATAACAGGGGCACCCAACCGCAGACAGGGGCACCCAA